AGTCGTCAATGCCGACACTTGGTCCGTCCCTGAACATATGTGCACTTCGGGACTCAGTTACCTAAAAGGGCCTGCCTAAAGTGGTTTCGAAAGCGGGGGCTTCTCAGGTTCACCCTGCGATTGGCAAAAGGGCAGGGTGCTTATCCTACTTGTCTTGCTGTTGGTTTTGCTCTGCATTCTGGGCGAAATGCCCACCACCCATTCCTCTTCTAGTTCCTCTTAGCGGGTGTCTTCGGGATTGTATAGTTTCTCACCTGGAGGTGCTGTGTGGTTGATGGGAGGTGCATGCCCAAGGTGTTTCTCTTGGTTTGTGAAGGTGCTCTTCAGACTTGTATAGAATCAAGCAGCCATCTCCATCGTTGCCTCGATTGTTGTCTCCATCGTTGCCTCCATTGTCGTCTCCATCGCCTCCATCGTTGCCTCGGCTCCACCTGTCGCAATCATTCGTTGCCAACAACAGCACATTCATGCTGCTTGCATCTCCACCTGCGCGATCAGAACCTCTCGCATTGCAGTGATCTGAAGACCGAGCAAGCGCTGCATCTGCCACGCCAAGAGGTGTAGTTTGGCTTGCAGTTCTGCGTGAGATGGCATTCTATTTTCCCTATCCGCCATTCAGAAAGAGCTGCTGGATCTCCGCTCAACACAAGCCAGGTAAGATCAATGAAGTACCGGATGCGCACGCACCAATTGCTCACACAGCCGGAGGATAAGAAATGCTTCCAAGATAAGTAGAGAAGTAAGTGATCAAACGTGTGTGTGAATGTGAATGTCTGTGAATGAAAACTCATGTATATATTGAGTATGATTCGAGGCAGGCCGGCCGTTTCATCTTCTACAAATTGGACTAGGGCAGCAGCGCTGCAGGTGTTCATGAACCCAGGTTGGAAATCAAGAGATCCAAAGCATAATATCTATGGCAAGCTTTATAGTGTACAGGGTAAAGCATGCAGTTAGGTTGTTCTTACCTATTTTTCACTGGGCTTCGGGCTCTGTTGGCTGGTGAAATGCAAAGAAGCCCTGACCCCTGGCAGAGACTTGGATGACAAGAAAATGAAACCAAACAGAAAGGCACAGACTGAAAGGACCCAAGTGATTGATGCGTTCGATTCGGCTTGGTGGGTCCAGGCCTTGTGATTTGACTTGGTGGTTCGAAGTCCTTGAGAATACAATTTCATGGGTTTGGCTAGTATATATTTAAATACAATGTTGCCCTGCAAAGGGATCAAAAAGCAGCGAATTGGCCGGACACGCCCGCGCGGAACAGCGATCTAAGCACACCTGCTTTTCACTTACCGTAAGAACCTCTCAGTGTGCCCACACTGTTTGGGGAAAAACTGCTCGTGGAATTGGACAACCAATTTTTTTGGGGGGAAGCTGAGGGGTAAGTTCCCCAAAGTGGCAGTAGAGTATACTGGACCTGATCGAATACACCAAGTAAGACCCTCTCACGATGCAAGTGTGCGAGCAACGACGAGCACACTTTTCTCTGTGGCAAGGAGTGCAGTATTGGGCTTCAAATGTCTTGAGCCAAATGAATTATGCGGCAGCTGACTTGCTGACTGAAGAGATCTAACTATCAACTAACTACGGACAACAGGTGCTACACACGCCTAGGGAAACCTAGACCCTACAAAACACAAACAGACACAAATTTTCTTCGTGTCTAAGCTCACGGCTGAGAAACTTCAAAAGGTTGCAAAAGAGTGCAAACGAATTACTAATCCCGAGTACCTATTAAAAAACGGACCCCCATTAAAAGAAAGTCATGCCGGATCCCCTAAATTCGGTTTATATTTGGTTTTAAATTGCCGCCCTTTCAAACCGCTACTAAACTACCAACATGGTCGATTTTGGGGGTAGTTTTTTAATTAGGTTCCCCAAAACTCCACCATGACACGCCGCGCTTACACCAGCAGGCTTTCCTTCCCTCAATGGCACGGACTCACGCAAACGCACTTGCCACCGAGGTCATGCAACACCGCATGGCACAGCGACATCACCTTTCGAAAGCTTTAGCTGTTAGTCTACTGAAGAATCACTATTCTAATGAAGGTTTTTGTAGGGGAAAAGGAAGACCCTTCGATCTGGCGGTTTTTTGCATTTTTGATATGAGTTTAATAAAGGATTTTATATAAAATTTTCCTGGATTACTTTTTGGTTTTGAAACTCTTTCCAGGTGACCCTATTTTGGGCCCCCGATTTCAGGGACCCCTATTAGAAAAAATGCGACCGAGGTTTCCTTATTGGGGGGGGGTACGTGTTTTTTATTAGGTGGACCGGATTACAGTTCTGGCATCGCAGAACTTGACCGTAGATGCCATTCTGGCCCTTAAGTCTATGACATCAGACAGTCTAAAGCACTCTCAAGGATAGAGTCTCATGAATCTGTACAAATCTACGAAAGGCTGTAAACTTTCCGCAACGCCGGAAGTTTTTCAATGCAGTTCAAAGCTTCAAGGTCTATTCAAATCTCAAAAGCTTCAAGGAGTTCTCGGAAAATATATGGATCTAATCTAGCGCAACTCATGAAGTGTAATTGCCGGAATGTCGGCGATGCTTGGACGTCATTTACCACCTTCGGTACCCTCGATATCCAATGTCCCAGCCGGATTGCCACCATGACGAGGAGGGAGAGGATTGCCACCAATCTTGCCTTGCCTTTCTTGCCTTCTCCACTGGGACCGTTCCTTGTCCTTCTTTCTTCTATATTGAGCAGATGCTTCACCTCGGACACGAAAGGCTACTGAAAAGTTCATTGAAACGGGTGTAAAAGGCTTCATCAAATTGAATAAACAACAAAACCATGAAGTCTTGAC